TCGCTGGTTTATCACTGGTTTTGTTACTGATATTTTTGACAGCTTGTTGGAAATTTTTAACTTCATGCTATTTTAATTTTATGGCGTGTTCAAGCACAAATAAATAATAATAATAATAATAATAATAATTCCTACGCTGTAGATTATAGGATATATGGAAAGTTTGATACGTGACAGCATACTGAGAATTTATTTCATATGTTGCCTAGTTCAGGCTACAAACGAGGTCATTGCTCGAGTTCCAAAGTGCACACAGGCTGAGATGGAGTCAGCCGTCGAATCGTGCAAGAATGCCTTCAATTCATGGAAAAATACGTTGGTCACCTGCTGAATTTATAACAGCCCAATAGGTTCATTCTGATGTCCACCTGACTTTCCTTTTAGTTCTCCCTTGACACGTCAGCAGACCATGTTCCGCCTTCAACATCTGATCAAGCGTGACTTGAAGAAGCTCGCCGAGAACATCACAGAAGAACAAGGGAAGACGTTGCCCGATGCCGAGGGAGACGTTAGCAGAGGTCTTCAGGTTCCTTTCTATACTATTATATTTGAACCGAAAGATGCGATTCTTACCGTTCGCTTTTAAATTTTAATTTTAAGATAGTTGAACATGCTTGCTCAGTACCATCACTGATGCTCGGAGAGACTCTTCCGGGGTGAGCTTTCTCTAGTGCTTTACTCAAAATTGCCTTCTCTTTTTGAATGGACTGTTTCAAGTGTGTCCCGTGACATGGACGTTATCTCATATCGCTATCCCTTGGGAGTCACTGCCGGTATCTGTCCATTCAACTTCCCGGTGATGGTCCCATTATGGATGTTCCCCCTCGCACTTGCCACCGGAAACACCATGGTAATCAAGCCATCAGAACAAGATCCTGGAGCTTGCTTGATGCTCGCCGAACTCGCCAAGGTGAGCGCAACTGCGTTTCGATCTTGCTCATATGGCTTATGGGTCTGAATTTCAGGAAGCTGGAATTCCTGATGGATGCCTCAACATTATTCATGGTCAGCACGACACCGTGAACTTTATCTGTGATCATCCCGACATCAAAGCAATCTCATTCGTCGGAGGCGACAACGCGGTGGGTTCGACAGCTTGTTTTTACCACTAAAAAAGAGTGGGGTTGCAGGGTAGCCTACGCCATGAATGGCCGATGTCAGACTTTGCCAACTGAGCGGTTCGCAGGCGTCCGCGGTAGCGTCGCGGCCAGCGAATCGCTACTGGTATGTACACAACGCGACCGCGAATCGCTCGATCCTGAATCTGACGTCGGCCAATCACGGCCATCAAGCCCATGTATCGAGTTCTTAACTATGGTCACCATAACCATTTCCAGGGTAAACATATTTATGAACGTGGAGGTCGCAATGGCAAACGTGTTCAGTCGAACATGGGTGCCAAGAACCACGGGTGGTCAGCGGACCTGCATACAAAAGAGCAGACCCTAATCCAGCTAATTTAGTTCTGCTGAAATCCTGTTTACCATTTTTTAAATTGCGCAGGATTCTCCCATGTGAGCGAATTAACCTAAATTGTCATTTCGCGATAACATCGCCAATATGAAGGCAATTACGTAGGTTTGGAGGGGGTTACAGGCCGCTTTTCAGGAGTAACTCAATGTGAGCCAAAAGCAACAAAATCTCAAGAAACGCGAGAAAGAGACCACTCTTATTTTGGCCATTGATCCTCCCTCAAGGACGGGCAGCGGCTAGGACGGCGGTCGACGATAATTGACGAGTTATATGCCACTGCGTTGTTCACCTAATGCCAGTTCCATGCTCCAGTCGAGTTGCTTCCAGTTGTTATGGTTCAAATCCCCCAAACTAAACTGAATGGCAGTTGGCTCTTGGGACGTGGAGTGCTTTCCGAACCTGCCTGCCAGCAACCAGCGCACCTTTCCTTATAAAAGCGTCAAGTCGTCTGGGCAGTTCATGTAAACCGTTTTTCGTGTGCTGCCCATATACCATCTGGCGATGCGTTTCCTCTTTATCGTAATAGCTTCCTTTAATGTAATGAAGTGAAGAATACAGTTGCCTTGATAAAGACAGTGATCTCTACGGATGAGAGGGCTGGGCGATATGGAGCCTTCATCGAAAGCAAATGCGTCGAAACGCCTTTAGCGCGCTGGAAAGTGGTCAAGTCGCCTTCTCGACGCTCTTCCCACAACAACGTCTCCAAACTGCGCGCTAACCTTCGTAATCTTGTTCATTGTCCTGGAAAAAGTATCAATTGAGCTATGCAAGGTCTTTTTAGTTGACAGCCGCTGCATTTGGAGCTGCAGGACAACGTTGTATGGCCCTCTCGACGGCGATCCTTGTCGGCGAGGCCCGTTCTTGGTTACCTGAACTAGTGAATAGGGCCAAGCAGCTTCATGTAAATGCAGGTTTGTCCTAACATCTAGTACAAGGAGTTTACTAAACTGATTCTTAAAATTCTTTGAGGATGGAAGCCAGAAACTGACGTCGGTCCATTAATATCAAAGGCAGCAAAGCAGCGCGCCGTCAACATCATAAAAGGAGCGAAGAAGGTTGAATTTTGATACTTTTCTCTTTCGGCGCTTTGATCAGAACATTTTGCAGGAAGGCGCTAATGTACTACTCGACGGAAGCGACATCGTTGTCCCAGGGTTCGAGAGCGGCAACTTCGTGGGACCCACGATTATCGCAGGAGTCAAACCAAACATGACTTGCTACAAGGTTCGCTTTAAAAATGCTTCTGCTTTTGATCCAGATTGCTGTTATTGTTCAGGGAGATTATAGTTAAAACAGCCATCAACATAGTACTTTCAGGAAGAGATTTTCGCGCCGGTTCTAGTTGTCATGGAAGCAGAAACCTTGAATGATGCCATTGAAATCATTAACAAAAACCCCTATGGAAATGGAACCGCCATATTCACAATGAACGGCGCTACTGCTAGAAAGTATGTCCATCAGTTTTGCTTTTGAAATGTTTATAAATATTAACAACTATTCAAACAGATTCACGAACGAAGTAGACTGCGGCCAAATCGGTATTAACGTGCCAATCCCTGTCCCTCTACCCATGTTCTCATTCACCGGGTCACGTGGTTCGTTCAGAGGAGACTTGAACTTCTACGGAAAAGTGAGTTGCTCTAGCTGCATTGCTTAATGATATCCATCGAGATCACCGAAACCTTCCAGGCTGGAGTTCAATTCTACACACAATGGAAGACCATCACTCAACACTGGGGCGAGAATCTAGCAGATATGAAGCGTCAAATGTCTTTCCCTCAGCACAAGTAGATGCAATCTACATTTGAAACATAGTGTGATAATGTCATTTCAGAGTTCTAAAAGCCTTATACAACGTATTTGTTTTGTTATATTGCGACTGTTTTGTTGAAAAAGACATACCGAAATAAAATTTTATGTACACCTGATGCACCACATGAAAATTCTCGACGTAATCCAAAGTGCCAAATGGTCTAATTGATATCAGAACCGGTCTTATCCCCGTCAGTGTCGTCATCCGTATCCTCCTGAGACTTTTCGCCTGCATCTTCTGCCGCTTCAGGATTCACCTTAAGATAGAAGTGTCATAACCAATGTTACAGTTCTTTCTGAACATGAGTAGGTTTTTGAATGGCATTTGCAATCAATGAAGAACAACTGGGACATCACCACAAGTCATCATCATCAGAAGGAAGGCATA